CATTTCATCACCATCAAATAACATCAAATTTAAAAAATTTATTTTAGAAATAGATGGATTGGATTATGATTTTGATTTTGAATTGGAGGATATTAACAATATATCAATAAGACAGGATGCAGTTGTATATGCCTGTGACAAAGCAATTATTTCTAGAGAATCATATAGAATGTTAACAAATATATATCCTGATTTAGAATGTTATTATAGAATTGAAGCACAACGTATTGAAATTCAAAATATTATTAATAACTTAGTTCCAATTAAAACTTTTTTTGTTAATGATATAAACAATAATAATAATCAAACAAATAATAATAGTCAAACAGCAAATAATAGTAGGGTTGGAACAAGTTTTATTAATGAAAATACTAATATAGAAAGTGTAGGCTTATATGATGGAGATGGAGCATATCGATCAATAAGATCTATTTTAAATATTTTAATACCACCATTAAAATGTTCATCAACATTTAGTTTTTTTAATAATATATTGAAAATCAAATTAAGTGGTGATGGACATTTGGTCGGAAAGAAACAAAATCAAGTGATTTTAACATTTTGCTTATTAAATGAAGGTGAAAATGTTTTAAAACCTGATCATCAACATAGGTAAATATATTTTTATAATACCTTTTTAAAAAAAATTTTTTTAATAAAAATTAACATATAATTAGCATATGTATTTATATTGGAAAAGAAAAGAAAAACTCTTTACAACTTGCTTGGAGTTATTTTACTGATGAAATAAAAGATATAAAATCAAATGGATATATTGATCCAGATAATTTTCATTGGGATGTTGAGTTTTTATTTCAGCTGATTGGAAATTTCTTCAATTAGTTCGTGGAATCAAAGCTCCCACCAGTGAATATTTTTGTCTTTATTGTGATTGTTCAAAGTTTCAAAGAGCAAATATGAATATTCAATGGAGTAACACTTATAATACAAAAAAACAAAGTAAATATTTAAGTTTATATTATTTTTATTTAAATTATAAAATTATATTAACAATAATTTTTAAATAGGTTTTAATTATGATTGTTTATTGCCTATGATTGATCATAAAAACTGGATACCAGATGCGTTGCACTTAATGCTTAGAATCAGTGATGTATTATTAGAATGTGAATAAAGATATGTACATATTATTTATTAGATAATTATGTATATAGATAGTATAAGCATGTAACAATAATACACTAGTTATATAAGAAAAAAGGAAAGATGAGAGATGACAATTAATCTTTTTAATATGAAAAATGTATGGTGTCCAAAAATTCTTTGAGGGCAAAGCTCTCAAAGAATGCTCTCCGCAGGAGCATTGGCTTCTTCACATGAAGAAGGAAATTTTTTTTAGCAATGTTATATATTAATATATAAATATTTTTTTTAATTTGTATCACCATTAAAGGTCACGTGATATAAAATTTTATTGCATTTTTGAGCATAACTTACAAATTCTGAGTTTTGGTGATTTTCCCAAAATTGGCCACGAGGCGCAGCAAGTTGCGGGACTAGGTGACTTGCACCATATACGTATAATGCTGACCTTTTTAAATGTTTTCCTTCCATGCCTCCCTCCCTCAAATGATTGCATGTTGAGCAAAATTTTTCAGTTGCACAGCACTATCGACAACAAAATGTACGGTGATGTAATTATAAATTTTTGGAAGCTTTCAAATTCTTTACTTGATCCAACCAACAGAAATGTCTTCCTCAAGTATCTCGCAGTGCTTTCAGTGAAGTCGTTCTGTTACCCGTCGAGTCTTATTCCTTCAGCTACAAAATCCTATGTTGAGAAACTTGAGACGTGACCTATTTCAATCATATCTCGCTAGATCTTTCGCAAATCCCACACTTCCTTCACCTCACCTGACGAGTCTATTTCTCCAATTGGAAGAAACTTACAAATGTAACCGCAAAACAGCTTCCAGTATGAGCACTTTTATTGTTTGTTGTATTACTCTGTTAAGTTTCTCACCACCTTTTCACTATTTGCAGACTGTCGCATTGGCGAAAATATTTGTTGTTAGTTTCATATTGGTGGACCTCCTTTATGTTTGGTATCGGAACAGATGTAATGAACATCTTCTTAATAAAACCACGGAAAAAGGAACATAACCCAAGGTGGGAACTTCATGTGACAAGTTTATTCCTCAACCTATAGTAACAGAACGCCTAAAGAGAATTTTTCAGCCTTATGAAGATCAATCATTTTATCAAGTTATCTGTGAAGAGCATGGAACCAGGAGGACAACATGAACTAGAATTCTGGCAAAAGAAACTAGACAGGGAGTTATATTTGTTGATATTCCTGCAAATATCATGAAATTGGGCAAAGCAATTGGAGAAGGATATCTCTCTCACAACACAGCTATCTTGGGCGATACTAGTAGTGAGTTTATCATTACTGTTTTGTTTTTAACAACAAATATTTTTAACACCAATTTCTCTTTTATAGAGAAAATTAATCATCCTGAATGGGGGAGAGTTTTGAATTCCTTTAAGCGTGCCTTCCATAATATACAAAAAGAAATATGGCAAACCACCAATTATTGTTTATGATAATGTTAGCCAATTTGTTCACAAAAATTCGGAAATCCTTGATATCCTTCAGGATGATGTACTGACAAGGTTTTTAATGCCCACGAAGAAACACTGAAGATTTACAAGCATATTTATGATCTGGTATTTTTATTTCTAGCACGTAATTCTTAGTCACATGCAAAAAGCCCAGTAATGGAGATTGGTGGGTGATCTTAGCAAGAGGGAATCAATGGATTATCTGGTCAACAAGCACAAAATTAGCTTTTCAAAAGCAAATAAAATTTATAAATTAGTTGGTGGTTGTATCATAGAGCTGAAGACTGTGGCGGATGATTTTCTGGCTGGACAGTCCTTCGAAGGTAGCATTGATTTTATATTTTGTTATGCAACTCTGCTTTGAATTATTGCTTAACCCTTTTTCTGCAGTCATTAAACTGCAAATTGTAACTGAGGTCAAGAAGAAATTTGATTTTACAAAACTCCTTAGAGGCCAATCATGTCATGAAGTAGGTAAGCATGTCATTGGTGCTTTGTTGGTTTCCAAAGAAATCGATACTGAAGTATTTAGAGAATTTTTTGGTGATGAAAATCCAGTGAAGTTTTAGGAGCTAATGTATTTGCATATCATCTATCAAAAGATACAGTGACCTTTTAGTCTCAATCAATAGAATACTACTAATATATTCATTAAATAAGGCCATAATTTTTAAAGAAAATAGTTGATTAAAACAAAATCTTGGTCGATTATCCACCAATCTCATCCGTATTATCTGTATAATAAAAATGATCTAAAAACATTTTATCATTAAAACAACAAAAAAAAATATTATTCAAAGAGAGTATTACATTTCCATTAAAAATAAAGAGATAAAAATATTTCTAGTATTTTCCATAAATATTTATTATTATGTAAAAACAGATTAATGACAATGATAATAATAAGGTTAATGTGGGTGGAACATCTGCTCCTGGTGCAAACTACTACTATACTAACTCAAGTAATTGGATTAGATACACAAAATGGATAGTCATCATCCATTCAAATTATATCAAACTCCATCATCATCCATTATAATTGCATCACCGTCTTTATCCTCCTCCTCCTCCTCCTCCTCCTCATCATCATCATCATCATCATCATCATCAACTTCTACTACATCATTACATTCCTTCAAGTCAACTCAACTATTAGGACAATAAATACCCGTCATCAATAGCAGCAACAGGAACCAACTCATTACCATTATCCAGGAACCCGTTACCACATCATATTCAAATGTACAAGCAGTTCATCAATTAGGTTTTTTCACCTTGACCATCGTTATCAAGCTCAATTTCAATAGAACCACCACCTGTTCAAGTATCTTTTCCACCACCATCAGGAGGTTCATCTTAAATATATAGAATATATATATATATATATTATTTTATTAAACTTAATATTTTATCCTCAATTTTTTTTGTATGATAATTTCAATTTCCCCCTCTTCAGTATCAGAAACAATGATCAATATGGAAAAATGAAATAAACTTGAAATAAATTTAGAGATAAATATGATTTCATTAATTGTTTTTTTAAATAATTAATAGCTATTTTTTATGAAAAAAATTTTTTTTAGGAAAATGAAATGAAATACTATCTTACAATGTTTCATTACAAAAGCTCTATTGATTTTTGTTTTATAGCATAACTGATTCCTTCTTGCTTGTTTTAGCATTGAATTGCCTCTGTTATGGAACTAAAAGGATTTTACAATTTTGATTTTATTAAATCACCGATTTTTTCCCTTTCTTCTTGACTAAATTTTAATCTTCCGCCATGTAATCTTCTGTTTCTATTGTTGATATTATCTTCATCTTTAAATCTTGGTATAATATGGAAATGTACATGAAAAACCACTTGACCAGCAAAACTACCATTATTTTGTAAGATATTAAAATCTTTTATATTTAACGCTTGACATATTGCATTTGAAATCATTGGAAGTGACGCACCAATTGCAGCGATTGTTGAAGGTGAAGCTAAATTTATGTATGGTACATGTTTTTTGGGGATGACTAATGTATGACCTCTTGATATTGGTGCTATATCTATTATTATTATTATTTTTTATTTTTTTATGAATGGAAAAAAAACCAATTTATCAATAATTTTTCTAATAATAAAAATAAAAAATAGATTTTTAAATTTGTAAAAAAAAAAAAATCCCTCTCTCCATTACCAAGAAATGCTAAAACATCATCATTTTCAAAAATTTTTACACAAGGTAATTCACCAGCGATTATTTTACAAAAAGTACAATATTTTTTTTTTTG